TTCTACACTGTGCCAGCTGTCTCTAAATTAGATATTTTCGATCAAGGCTCTCTTTTTTCTATATATAGAGGCCATATCTCTCATATTGCAAGGTTAGAAAATTTTGAGAGCCTCTCTCTCTAAAAGTCCTCTCTCTACAATTCTCTCTCTCTTGCCCTTTTGTGCATAGAAGTAGAGATACACTTCTCCTTTGCCTAGAGATCCTTGATCAAAGTTGCTTATCTTGGAGCTGAGGTTCTTTGAGGCTTAGTTTGAGCTCCTAAGGGTGGTTTAAGCTCAGAATTGTGACTGTTTTTGTGCTGTGCTTCAAGAGGTAAAAGTCTAACCTTGTAGGCTTTATTTTAATCACTTGCTTTGCCATCTTTTTACACTATTTTTGAGCTGATTTTCAACTATAAAAACCTCTGTTTTTCAGTCCTAAAAATGGTAGTTTGAGCCTATTTTAAGCTAGGGGGTTGTCTCCCCTTTTTGCTCTTTGGCTTGTGAAGCCTTTTGTGCCATTTCTTGCCATCTTTAAATCAAACTTTTTGGCCCTTTTAAACATTGAAATCCAGAGTTATTTCAGTGATAAAAATCAACTTTTGAAGTCCCAAATAGGAGGGGTTAGCTTCCCCTCCTTGTGTCTTGCTTCCATGCCTAGGTTGCTTCATATGTTAGTTTGATTTTCTAGCTTAACTTAGCTTAATTCAAGCATGTTTTAGGCTTTAATTTGGCACTGTTTTGGGTTGGTTGGTGCACTTAAGGCTTGCTTTTTGTACTTGTAGTGCAATTGTGCTTATTAGTCTACCATGCTTCATGATTTAGCCTATTATTCTAGCTTGTGTTAGCTTAATTTTAGAATGTTTTAAGCTATGTTTTGACTTGCTTTAGCTCTGTTTTAAGCTGTTTGGGTCATTTGAGCTTTGTATTGTATAGCTGTAGTGCAATTTCCTTCACTAGTTAGTTGTTTCAATGCTTTGATCATCTTTCTTATGAGTTGAAAGCATGTTGTAGTGTCATTTTGCAGGCAATTTCAGTACATATAATATCTGTAACCTCCCTCATTTCATCACTTTTTCATTTGCTTTGAGGGTTGATTAGCCTTAGGGTTGTGCTTAAGCTTGAGATTGAGATTTGTACTTAATGGTTTTAATCCTCTTTTGAGGGTTTCTACTAACCAACGGCATGATCTCTCTCATGTCTTAAGTCATCCTTTGGTCCTCTCTCATTAGAGGACACACACCTTGGACTAACTGGTTAAAGAATGGTTTGGTAATGTAAAATGAGTAAATAAAACATGACAAGTAAAACTTGAGCAAGTTAAGCATGTTGTGTTGCATTGCATGTGTTTGGATTGGACGTTAATCCAAACACAAGGAAAATGAGATGTTTCATACTCGAAGTGATGAAACGTGTCATTTTTCTTGGTCACCGTCACCCTTGATTATGCATGATAGGGTGATGGTGTATTGGTCTTGTTTATGCATTCATTAACCTTATACAAGCTTGGTTCCCTAGCCATCATGCATTGAAAATGCTTGGTTGATGACTTGAGAGCCAAGAGCTATACTCCTTTGAGCTTGAGAGATGATAAGGAGGGTAGCAGTACATATATTTCATGAAAATGCATTGCTTTGCCTCTGTTTGCTCTCTGTTGCAGCAAAAGTAGAAGTCCAGAAAAGTAGGTGGCTGACTGGCCACTTGAAGTAGTCGACCGGCCACTTGAAGTAGCCGACCGACCACTTGATCTAGTCGACCGGCCAGTTAAGGTGGTCAACAGCCACTTTTTGTAGCCGACCGGCCACCAGTCAATTTTTGTGCAAATGTGTTCTTGTGTTGGAGCAGAGGCAATCTGGAAGTTGGTACAATTTTCGGTGATCAAATGAGTGCAAATAGAGGCATCCGATGGCAAGACAAGGGCATTTTCGGGTGGAGCAACCGAGCATGCATGCATCCCTCGCCCTCGAGGTCATTTAGTTGCTTTAATTAGCTTAGCATAACTAGTTATTCAATTTTGGTTTGTAATAATTAGTTAACTAGAATAGTTAATTAGTTTCGTTTTATAATAATTAGCTTAGTGCAGCTTAGCTTATTCAGTCAGACCCTCCTTCGCGAGGGCACAATATTGTAATAAGTGTGCGTGTGTGCGTGTGTGCAGATCTTCCAACCCCACGTCTTTCTCCCTTTATTTATCTGCATTCGATGGTTAGATTAGGGATCATGTTTCGATTAGCATACCTTATGCTTGCATGTTGCATCATTCATTTGTCTTGCATGTACCGAGGCTCGGCGTATCATTCAAACTGCATCGTATTTCAATACTTCTTTGAATATGTGTTTCGAAGCATGTTATCAAGTTGCATTCATATGCCATCTTAGTAGCCGAGCCTATTAATTTCATGTTGCATGTGTTGCATTAGGCATCTTAACATAGTTAGGATTATGCATTGTTTCTAACTAGTTTTTGTTTTGGCTCGGAGTACACTGTAAGTTTTACGCTTTAGCATACTTGCATGAGTGTGAGTGTTGCCATGTTTAGCATGCTTGCCATGAGGCTATTTGTTTATATGATTAACTGCATGAATGCCTGTGGATGAAGGCTTGGTTGCTTGAATTGGAACAATTCGACGAGTGTGAGTTTTAAAGCCCACTTTACGAAGTGGCAAAATCATGTTCTAAGCCCACCTGAGGGTGGCAAATCTGCGTTTTAGCCCACTTGAGGGTGGCAATTTCAAACCATTTTTGAAAGCAAACATGAGTTGAATTCGTTTCAATTCTCGCGTTTTAGTCTATACTTGTATGTGTGCGTCACATAATAAAGTTAGCTAATAACCGGAATAAGAACACATGTGCTTATAAAAACAACATACCATGATAATAGAGGCCGATCTTTTGATCAGGCGAGCGGGGGTGCTCATGTCATGACCTTCCCCTCTCGTACCCAAGTTCCCGAGCCGATGCAACTTTGGTGATGACGGACACGTGGCTTTCGGCACGAGTCAGGGTTTCCTAAATTTTTCAAAAATAAAATATTTAGGTGGTGACTCTGTAATCTGAGAAAGCAGTCCAGTTTTGGCATTATTTGATTCAAAATCGATTTTTCAAAATGATTTGCCGGATTGGACTCTTTGGTGTTTATTAGTTTCACATTGCACTTTGTGAGATTAGATTAAGAACCGTGACAGGAGTCCGAACCGTAGGACCAATTCAAGCTCTCCGAAAGGGAGCGTGAAGAAGTCGAGCTACACATAGGAGTAGTTTCAAGTAGCTTGTTGTTGTAAACTTCTACGAGGCTAAATTAGATCATTGTAAGTCTTTCATTTTTACTTAATGAAATACTATAATTGTTCTTCATTTAATTATTGTTTGCTAAATTCTCCTAAATAAAGCCACCAGTAAAAGTCCTCTTCGTTGAGGTTGAAAGAACTGAAATACAATCGTCTGATAATTGGTTGGTAATTAATCTTCTGTAAGGACTGATTGATCCTTACTGGCACGCTTAAAATTGCAATACTAACATTCGAAAGACAAAAAAGCCAACAGTCACACATAGGACTTATTGGAACATATGAAAATAGTTTAGACTAAATAGGTGAAAAGAGATTTATAAAAATGTCTCCTTTTTTTAAAAGGTCTCTAACAAAATAATAGAAGTCACCATAATGCACGAATGGAAAATTGTCACTCATCAAATTTTTTTTTTTTGGTTTAATTAAATTAATTAATTAATTAATATATTTATTTTTTGTAGTTGATGAAATTTAAAATTGAAGTCACTTATAAATTGTGCATTATCATCATGGCTGATACTGGAGGGTTGATAAAGCAATTCCGTTTTGTTCGCATCAGCGAAGTTCTCAGGAAGGGGTCAGCTTAGCCCATAACCTCATCAAGTCAAGACTTATAATGCTTAGGTGCTAGCATGGTCTTTCTTTTGTTATTGTATTATGAATCTATGATGCATGTTACTATATCAAAATAGGTGATTAATTTTGTTGTTGTGGTTGATATTTTAAATATATATGCTCTAAATCCTTACTAATCTAAATAATAATATCGAGAGATATATCAGTATCGATCACAGTATATCATATCTCAGGTAAATATCATAATAAGAATTTATCTAAGTCTTTGGAGGCTGGCGCTTTTGGCAATATATACGAATTTTTTTGAAAATTTTTTGTGAGCCTTAAGTGAAAGTCAAGTAGTTTAATGGTTGAGCCACCTTTGTATTTATTTTTATTTTTTATTAACAGCCCCTCTGATCGAGTGTTGTAGGTGATGGTTATGAGCCGGACTATTATAAGGTAAAAAATGACAACATAATCAGTTCAGACCGCTATGCAACTATATTGGTCCTGTTCTAGAGGTTGTGAACCAGATCATTACATAGCAAAAATTCATATCATAATCGGCCGGGCAGTTGTATCGGCTGGTTTGTATGTAGTTTTTCAATTACGCCAATAAATTAGTATGTAAAGGCAAAATGTGATATAACTTTACACTACAAGAATTTTTCCTTTTGGTGATTAAATTTTTAGTCGCTAAAAGTCAATTTTTAGTCGTTAGAGGCTTTTAGTGACTAAATTATTTGGTTGCTGCATTAGTCACTGAAGAATTGTCAAGAAAGGTAATTGGCGACCAATACATATTTTAATCGCTCAAAGTCAACTTTTTGGAGACTAAATTTTGCTTAGTCGCCAAAAATGATCGCCAAATGTGCAAATTCTTAGTGTTAACAGGGAAATATTTGGTGAAATACCCAAAATTTTATTTATGAAATAGAGAAGATCTTGATCAGTTTACTATGGCTTTGCTAAAAGTCAATTTTTAGTCGTCAGAGGCTTTTAGTGACTAAATTATTTGGTCGCTGCATTAGTCACTGAAGAATTGTCAAGAAAGGTAATTGGCGACCAATACATATTTTAGTCGCTCAAAGTCAACTTTTTGGAGACTAAATTTTGCTTAGTCGCCAAAAATGATCACCAAATGTGCAAATTCTTAGTGTTAACAGGGAAATATTTGGTGAAATACCCAAAATTTTATTTATGAAATAGAGAAGATCTTGATCAGTTTACTATGGCTTTGGTTGAGACCAGTTGAGAGATGAGAAATAAATATAAACCAATATGATTTTTGTATTGCTTTGAGAGATATGTAGAACTTTCTAAGCCCAAAGGGCAAGGATAGACATGGAGGTAGAGCCAAGAACAAGGGCAACAAAAGAAGCCTTCTTCAACCAATACTCAGAACTCATCAACTTGCTGTGGAAGAAGTCAAGAGCAATGAGGTCAACCAGACCCATGTAAATGAGTACACCTGCGGAGAGAGAACCCAAGAGTCCTTCAAGAATCAAGGCATTAGGGCTACTGTCGTCATAACCAGTCAAGGAGAAAATGATCATCCCCAACACTATTCCTATGGGTGTTGTCACTGAAAACATGAAGCACATGTAAGCTGTTGTTCCAAAGCTGAACCCTGCCTGCATGTATGTCATCATCACCATTTGGTTAAGAGGATGTATAAAATAGAAACTGGGAAATTACTACTATAGTTTTTGTATTTCATCTCTCGTGTTATTTGTAGTTTTAATTGCATTGATTTTTTCCTCAAATTTTTCATATTGTATCAATTTAGTTCAATTGATAAAACGCTCATTGTCCTCAAATTGATTGAGAAGTTGGTGTTCAATTTTTTTTTTTGAACACAGAGTTGGTGCTCAATTTGAATCATTCGTTATGTTCTTAATTTACAATCAATTTTTAATCTATGTTACCGATTAAAAAATTGGAAGACAAAATTAATATGATTAAAAACTATAAGGATTAAACTAACACAAAAGAACAATTACAAAAGAACAAATTATAGTGATTACTGCTATAATCTGTCTCTGTAAGCTCCCACAAGTAAGCGGTGGGATTGGTCTCCCGAGATTAGTAGAAGTGTGCGTAAGCTGAGCCGGATATCCAGTTATCAAAAAAATCAGAAGGATGTTTGGCCTGACAATTTCATTAGCCTAGTATAAACAACCGGTAAGCAAGGCTTAGTTTATTGAAGTCGGACTATTCTGTATAGATCTATGGCAACCCAGGCATTAATTTGTAGCATTTATTTGCTATTCAAATTACATTAATGATCCTCAATATTAGGATTCTATGGTATTTTGAGCTTTTTTATTTTAATTTAAAACTCAAAATATGAAACGTGTGCTTATATGATTTCTACGCCTTATGTTCTGCTACATTAATAAAATAATCAAGGATATTTTGAAAACGAAAACCAAACTTATTACGCTAATAGTTTCCTAATGTATGAGTAATTGAAATTTTAGGATGAAAATGTCACAAGAGTCGGACATCTAAGATCATTAGTGTAACTAGGTTCTTCCCCACCACCACTCTATTTCTTTATTTCTTCCACAGGACAGTAATTACCACAAGTATCAAACTCCATCTAGGTTGATATCTTAAATATATATTTTCTTTTGTTTGTTTGTTATTCCCCCCCCCCCCCCCCCCCCCAAACTCTATTTCTTTATTTCTTCCATAGGACAGTAATTACCGTAAGTATCATACTCCTCTCTACAGAAGTCAAACTCATATAACGTCATACCACATAGTGATATTACACAATTTTTAAGTCAAATAACCTACTTTGATAATTCTTTTCAAAATATGTTTATAATTTGTAACTTCCAAACATGAGGTCATAAAAACACATATTTCATATTCAGAGACTAAATTAACACAATTGAAATGTAAAGAATCAAAATGTCACTAAGGACATGCGCTGGAGCTAGTTGATGCAGTTAGTCCTTGTTATTAATACAACACTATTGCGTAACTCGAATTTGAACTTGGCCCGAATGGCTTGAAATTCATTTTGTCGGTCGTCCAGCGAGAAGGCTGACAGCCACGGTCGACAAGGTGAAAACTGCGGTAAACAAGTGTTTCACCCGGTTGTCCGGTAAACACCAATTCGGGCCATTAAAGCTCCTCCCTTTTCGAGTTACAAGGCATTTTTGTTATTAATAATAGCAAGTTTTGGAATCAATATTTAGTATTTAGATTATTACTCAGAATTATAATGTGTAGTGGAGATTAATTTAGTACTTTGTGGGGTCGATAGGTAGAATAAATTCAAATCACATGTTAGAATTTTAAAATATATAGTATTTTAGGTAAATTTTCTAAAAATAGTATTACTGTATTAACAAATACCTACAAGGTGTATGCTGGTTGTGAGACTTTCAGGTCACTCTAGAGGATCCGAACTCCACTCACATTATCAGCTGTAGTCACTCAAATGGTAGGCAACTTAAGTGTGTATAGAGTTTTAAAGCAAATCCAAAGTCACATAATCACATTTCTTGTTGATTATTAAGGTGTGTTTGATTGAATGATTTGATAAGAAAATTGAAAAGAGAAAGGGAAAGGGAAATCAAAAGAAAAGAAAAGAAAATGAGAAATAATTTATAATATTTTAATTTTAAATTATGTTTGGTTGAGTTGAAAAATGAAAAAAAAAAAAAAAGAGACTAAAGTGAACCTAAAAGAAAAAAAAGTAAAATTGTATTTCTCTCTTACTTTCTTTTCTCTTATGTTTTTATTATAACAAAACAAAAAATAAGATTATATTTACTTTTTTATTTTTATTTCTCTCATTAAATTTTTTAATCAAACACAATCTAGTGTTTGGACACAATTAGAGAATACAGACAATCCATAGGCACGCCCAACCAGCTTCTACCACATCCACACCCGACCTCTAGCATTAGTATGCCGTTTTATCAGAAGGATGTTTGGCCTGACAATTTCATTAGCCTAGTATAAACAACCGGTAAGCAAGGCTTAGCAATACCTAGAAATGACATCGTCCTGTGCTGGCTGATGAAAGTTGAACCCCAATTAATTTGAGGTACAATGATTTGGTATGAAAGTATCAATTTTTCCTCTCTCTCTAAACTTTTCTCCTCCTAGGGTTTCAGAGTTTGTGGCTGTCGGCGGTGGGGGAGGGGTTTCCGGTGGCCTCCGGCCCCCTCTCCCCTCCCCTTACCCCTCTCTTGCTCTTTCCTTTCCTTAGCTTTCCCATAACTTGGAAGCCTTGGCTTTCCATTCTCTCCCTTCTTTGTGATGTGTTTTTCCCACATCCATTCACTTCGGGAGTGGCCTTCTAGGATTTGCGCCTTCACCTCCTCTTCCCTGTCGTCTTCTTCTCCGTTGCCTTCGCCGACGCCAGATTCGCCTCCCCAGCAGCCTTCATCGCCTCTTCTCCACCGCATCTTCTTTGCCGTTCTTCTCCACCGCCGGTTCCGCCGAAGCCGCTGCCAGATCTGTTTGGGTGTGGGTCTGTTTTTTGTTTTGTTTTGTTAGTTAGATTTAGTCTCTTGTTTGTTTTCTTTGGTATTTTGTTCCTTTGGTTTATGTTGGTTATGGGTGTGTTTTGGTTCTCTTTGTTAGGCTTACCCTCATTGTGGTTGAGATCTATGCTTTATTTCGAATATGTTCTATTGCCGAACTTTTATGATCGGCTCTGTGTTGCAGTACGAGCACGAGTACGATATGTACGTCCGAATATTTTCATAGTTTTCTTCCTTAGTGCTTAGTGCTTTATTTTCACTTTGTTTGGTGTAAGTTTTGAGTTGTTTGGACTCTTGTAATTGCCATTTTGGCTTTCTTAATGACATATTTCTTCCGATAAAAAAAAATAAAAAAATAAAAAAAATAAAAAGAAAACCTTATTACTATCCTCAATTTTACTTCCTCAAATCATGTACGCCTTCAATTTCTGATCAGATTCAAAATTTCTGTCAATAAATTACATATTCAAATATTTTTTGACTTTTTACTTATAATAATATTTTGATTTTTTTTTAACTATATTAACTCATTGCCAAACAATATTTAAATGGCGAGTTTTTAACCATTCTCTTTTTATAATCTTGAAGTTATAATTTCCAATAACTACCTAAAAAAAGTATAATTTGAAATGTTTAAACTTAAAATAAATAATTTAAGAAATATATATATAACATGAGCCCCTCAAACTATATAAACGTTCTATACATGCTACTTGATAATTTTTTATTTAAATATCAATTTTTTATTTAAATATCTTACAGAGGACTAATAGAAAAATATGATGTTTAAATTTAAATAGTTTGAGAAGAGTAATTATTAAGTTTAAAATATTAAAAAATAAAATGTAAATCATCGATGATTTAAAGAGTTTAATATAATTTGTTCATATTTTTATAACGAGTCCGTACGTAAGTAAGTACCTGAGCAATACAGCCACCGAGTCCCATTCCTTCAAAGATCTGGTGAAACGCGAGTGCAGCAACAAGCGGCCTAATCGTGCACTGATTCTGGGACATCCCCATCGTCACTCCAATAATCACCGAATGAAAAATTATCCCAATCTCCAACACCTGCGACACCAATCTCTGCTTCATCCTCACCACTTCCTCCGCCGCCGCTTCCCCCTCACCACCACCACCCTCCTCCTCCACCGCCCCCAATTCCACCGCCGATTTCTTCTTCGCCGCCTCCAATTCCTCGCCCCCAATAGGCGTATAATTCTTAGTGCTCGACTTTCCATGGCTATCGACGTGCGAGGAAGCGGTTAGATCGACTAACAGGGCGGCGAGGACTCCGATTAGAGTGACGAGGCCGGAGAAGGGGAAGTCCTTCCAGGGGTGTTGAGACGCCACCTGGCAGTCGGCGAGGGCGTCGAAGGCGTCTGGGAGGACGTGGACGAGCGATGTAGAGAGAATCACTCCGGCCGCGAAGCACTTGATTATGAGGATCGCCTTGTCGTAGACCGGCTTGCCGTGGAACAGCCGAGCTAGCATCACCGGCGATGATATGCCGATTACGCTTGTGAAGAAGATCACGCAGATCGAGATAAGTTTGAGGTTCGACGCGGCGTGGCTGTTTCGGCAGGAAAGGGCTCGACTCGTGTCGGTGGCGCACACAGCCATGGCGCTCTCTCTCTCTCTCTCTCCGATGATGAATTGAGTTGAGACCAGAAACGGAGTTTGAAGAATGGTAAGAGAGGTGTTTGTGTTGGTCCTGGTGCCGTGTGGACTGTGATTACTGCTTGCAGAGTGGACCAGTGCTGTCTTTGATTGTTCCTAGTATTGACAAAGGGGAGAGTGACTTTTCTTTTTTGCTATTGGAAATGCTAAATACAGCCTAGCGTTAAAAAAACGGGAGAATTCCATCAATGGCATCAAGAGAAATATTTACTATGGCTCCGTTTGAGAAGAAAAAAATTAGGTCCAAACCCCTCCACAGCAGCTGATCACAAAAGGCTTGCTAGTCAAATGAGAGTTTTACAAACAAATATATATATATATATATATAGTTAGATATATAGATAGATATTGATTTAGATTGATACAGAAACATATGTATATATATATATATGTATGTAAAGGATGATAGGGAAGAGGGGATGGTATGCGCACACCACATAAGGGGTCGTTTGCCAATATGGTTTTTTGTTTTTTAAGTAAAAAAAATCAAAAAGCTAAAAAATTAACCTACTTTCCAAACGAACCCTAAACTAATTTTTAAAAATAAATATTAATAATTAAAATTATAAATTATTTTATTTTTTTTATAAATACTTTTTCTCCATGTGATGTGTAATTCTCTCTAACAAAATAGGTGATTATCACGATCTAAACCTGCCTCTATAAATTTAGCGTCGTAACTGACTAGTAATCTGTGATTACCGAAGGCCTGTTTAACAATAATGACGATAATACAATATAAAGGGGCTGGTGGAAGTCAGTTAATAATAACATACATCGTCCAATGAGCTGTGAGGACCTGAATGAAAATAAACTTTTATATACATAGTTATATTCACAAACACTTGTATCCATAAAACACATATATACAAGACAAAACACAAGTTACGAAATTAAATCCCATTATCAAAAACAGTATTAACAAAAGTCACGGAACATTATTTTTACTTTGTAATATCAAAAGGGTGAATTTGAGCCACCCAAAAAGCCTTGACATATGCTGGTTCAGAACCTCGCGATGAGGCACAATAGCTGGCTTGACAAAACAAGGGTTTGAGTCGTCGCCACTAGCTTTGATTCGGTGTTCGATCACCTACATATATACAGTAAATAGTGAGTTAGAGTCCAATGAATAACAGTTGTGTAAAGAGGTTAAGAATGATGTCTTTATAATATTTGAAATAATCGATTATCAATAGAACCTTTTCAATCAATATCTTTTTGTCAATCAATCGTTCAATTGTTCAATTCAATCAATTATATTCGTATAGGTTATACGTGATACATCCAATAGCAGCAATACAATAGGTTTTAAAGACCGAACAATCAATTGATGACCATCAAACAATAGATAATAGTTTCAAGAATTGGAACTGACAGAGATCTCTGTAACAATAGCGATATCAATAACAATAACAATAGCAATATGCTATGGGTGCCATGAATACAGTTCAAAAAGAGGATCATCATTCAATCAATAAGAGTAACGGTTCAAAAACAATATAATTTATCATTCAGAAAATAAATACAATTGAACGTATTTTTACAACAGTGTTATTCACAGTGGGCTTCTCGATACACGTACTAATGGTTCGGCGTTCAACCTAAACAAATAAAGTCAAGCATAACACAATTATAATCACATTCTTTCAATACTACTCAATTCGATTGTTCGATCTCTATCCGTTCCTCTTGATCCGTTCTTATTCTATTCTTTATTTTGTTTCATGCCTTTAAAATGCTCATAAATGTAATGCATATGGAAAAACATTTTAAAACGATGCAAATAGAGGCCTGGAAGGTGGAAAAGAGAAGCAGAAACAAAACCAGGTCTACCCAAAAGGGCTGCATGTGCGGGGGTCCCAACCGCATGTGCAGTGACCATCACTGCACCTGCTCCCGTACATGCAATTTAAGTAGAATACTCACTCACCACTGCCCTTTTTTTCTGCATGTTCGGGGCTCCAGGCTGCACGTGGGGTGATGTTACCAAACTAGCAGGTCCGAAAATTGCTCTGTTACGGCAGTGCACTCTTTTGCAAAATCAATTTCATTTTCATGCAATTCACTCCCAAAAACTCATATAACCATGCTTGACGTTGAGCCTTGATCATGAAACAGAAATCAAAACTTGTAAACAATGCCCAAATCGGTAATTTGAAGGTTCAAGACTCCAAATAAAATATAAACACATAAACCAAGTATTTCAAAGCTTCAAGGTTAAAATTGATGAGAAAAATCCTTTCAAAACCTTTAGACTTATGAAGATTATGCAAAAAATATGCATATATGAATAAGAGTGTCTTGAATTCATGCCATGCATGTTGCTAATTCTAGTTAATCTCCATAAATCCTTTTTTATGTGATCATATGAATTTCTAACATCAGTTTACACCCCTAGTCTCATAATTGCTCATGATCTTTAATTAAAACAACTCAAAGTCTAAAGGATTATAAGGGAAGCGTTTCAATTTCATGAAATTTGGTGGAAATTTCTTACCTTAATTGCTTAATTGGTGAAGATTTCAAGTTTCCTTATACTTTTTCTTCTTCCTAACCTTTTTCTCTTGTTGAGCTCCTTCACCAAGTCTTTCCCTCCATCTCTCCATATATAGTATATAGCCAGCTCCACTAGTCCTCAATTGATGAGTAGGATTCGTTTTTGTTTTGTTTTTTCTAAAATTCTTTTATTCTTATTCTTCAAGGTTAACTTAGGCTACTAATAAATCACATTAATTAATGCAAATCAAATTCACTCAATTTAAGTAATCCTCATCGTAAAATGATCTCAATTAAAATAAACTTAAATAAATTAAGGTGAATTAGGCTCTAATTCCTATCCAATTTCTTAATTCCAACTTGTTCAATATTAACGAATCAGACAGATTTAATTTTCACTCTAACCTATCTGTCTACAATAACACAATAACAAGACAATACAAATCAATACAATATATATAACACATGGCACATAAGTCACAATTAACACATAATCTCATGATCAACACCAATCACATACTTAACTTTATTAATTTACTTAATTAAGGGAGCGACTGTCACATTCTTTCCCTCTTTAGGACGTTTGGTCCTCCAAACTCAATTACATTTCTTTGGGAAGAATATAGGATCAAGTGAAAAGAGGTCCGGATATCTTCTCTTCATATCATTCTCTCTTTCCCAAGTTGCATAGATACTACCATAATTTTTCCAATCCAATTTCACTAACGGAATTTCTTTGTTTCTTAGCTTCTTGACTAAGTGGTTAACAATCTGAATGGGCCTTTCCTTGTAAGAATAATCGTCACTCAAAAGCACATGGGTAGGCTCAATAACATGAAAAGGATCCTGAAGATAATCCCGCAACATTGAAACATGAAAGACATTATGCATATGTTCTATTTCGGGAGGAAGTGCTACTTGATATGCAACTGGATTAATCTTTTCAATGATTTCATATGGCCCAACATACCTCGGTGCTAACTTAGCCTTGGTTCCAAAGCGAGTCTGCCCTTTCATAGGTGTTACCTTAATAAAAACATGATCATCCACTTCATATTCCTTGTCTCGCCTTCGGACATCCGCGTAACTTTTTTGTCGACTTTGCGCAGTTTTCAATCTTTGTTGAATTAATTTCATCTTTTCCGTTGTTTCATGTACAATCTTAGACTCAAGTAAAGGCCCATCTCTAACTTCTGCCCAACAAATAGGAGACTGACATTTTCTGCCATATAAAGTCTCGAAAGGTGCCATACCAATGCTTGAATGGAAACTGTTGTTGTAGGCGAATTCAGCTAAAGACAAGTGAGTTTCCCAATTCCCTTGAACATAAAGCACACACATACGCAACATGTCCTCCAGAGTTTGAATTGTTGTTTCTTACTGACCATCAGTCTGTGGGTGGTATGTATAGCCCAACTTTTTCGCACTCCCTTTCGGAAGTCGAATAAGCCCTACAGTATTGGACTCTCGCAGTTTTGAATTTGATTCCACAAGTGCAACGTGAAATAGATAAACACCAAAGAGTCTAAATCCGACAAATCTTTTGGAAAATCGATTTTGAATCAAATTATCAAAAATGGACTGCTTTGCCAGATACAGAGTCGCCACCTAAATATTTTTTGTTTTAGAGAAATTTAGGAAACCCACGACTTGTGCTAAAGGCCACGTGTCTATTATCATCAAGATTGTCATGAATGAATTGAGCACCCCCACTTGTCCGATCAAAGATCGGCTTCTACTAATCATGATATGAATCTTATGTACATTATATGCTGTTGTTCCGATTTATTAGGCTAGCATTACTATGTGATGTGCACACACAAGTATAGACTAACTTTGCAAGAATTGAAACATTTCGAGTCATGTTTTGTTTGAAAAATTGTTTCAAACGTGTACCACTTGAAAAAGTGATCGCATATGAACATTTACTCAAATTATTTCAATTCAAGCAATTAGCATTCATCTAGAGGCATTCAAACACATATAGCATTTAAGTATTTAGCCTCATGGCAAGCATGCTAGACATGGCAACAACCACATGCGATATGCTAAAACAAGTAAAGGCTCACCTAGTACTCCAAGCCAAAAGAGAAATGAGTTAAAAAAATGAATGATTCCTAACTATACGATATGACTAATTGTAGACACCCCATTTTTGACCGACCTTAAGACTCAGACGCCACCAGTTGAGCACTCGATGATGTTGCATATTGTGCTCGTTCTGAGGTTGCGGAGTCTCGGCTGCAAGTCCTGCCTCCGAACTTCAGGGCTCTTTTTGTGTCTTGCCTCGGTTTGCGAACCGGATCCTATTTTCTATGTTTTCTCTTCCCAAAGGGAGAGAGAGGTCTCGTAGACCATCTCTCAGTGGCTGTAGGCTACGTTTCGTGGTCGTAGGCCATTTTTCCCGTTTGGAGCCCGGTTTCCGGTTTTCGGAGCCGTCGACCGTGTGCCTCTGTTCGGGACCGTTTAACTACCTCTGTTTGCTCCGATTTTTGGCACACATCTTATTTCCTCCCT